AGGATTTTGTTATCCATTCTGCTGTCTCTTGAACCCTCCATCACTTTAGTTTTAACATAGATTCTTTCAAAATAGTATAGAAAATAAAATCTTTCTGATTTTATAGGAGCATTCTATGAGAAGGCTAGATTTAAGGACTGAGAAGCTAGACGAAGAGCATGAGCTAAGGAACTATTAAAACAATTTAGGGATGAAGCAATGATAACCATGCTTAGGATGATACAGAAAAGGGGAACAAAATATAGCCAAGAGATACTATGGATCAGAAAAGGTGGTGGCTGTGTCTGACTCATGGTGACCCTGTACAGGGTTTCCGAGGCTGTAAATCTTTACAGGAGCAGAAAGCTTCATCTTTCTTCCATGGAACTGCTGACTTTCAGGCTAGCAGCCCAACTCATAACCACTACACTACCAGAGCTCTTTTCATAAAGGCATAAATAACTAAAAATAACTTTAAGGATTTACATTTAAAAAAAAAAATCTTATTTGATCACGAGCAGGAAAGTGATAACATGCGTATTAAATATCAATGTCAATTATCTCACTGTGCTATGAAAAGAAACGAAACGTGTGAAATGAATTAGAGCTATTTGTTTCAAGAATGAGGGTTCACGAGAAATTAGCCTGCATTTTAGTTTTGTATTTGATAACCTTATGGTTAATAGATCTAAAATGCCTAATAAAAACATCTCCTTGTAATATATTTTGATTTGTAGAGAACTTGACTTAAATGTTCCTGTTATGAATTTTGACCTTGGAAATTAGACATTAATACTCCCTTCATTTGTTTCATTGGATGTCCACATTATTTTTATTTGTTGTTGTTGTTAGGTGCCATCGAGTCGGTACCGACTCATAGCGACCCTATGCACAACAGAATGAAACACCACCCAGTCCTGGTGTTGTCATATCAAATTATTTCTGACTCATGTGACCCTGGTCCTGTACCATTTTCCATCATGAGTCAGCCACGTCCCTTGTCAGAGCCACTGTGTCCTTCCATCCTAGGAGGTGCACCTTCCAAAACAATGTCAGAAAGTACTGCTGTGGACCACAGGGTTTCCATCTGACCAATTTTAAAAGGAGATTCGCTTTCTCCCTCGTCTTTCTTAGTCTGGAAGCTCCGGAGAAACCTAGCTAACCCGGATGACTGCTGACATTTGAAATACCAGTGGCATGGTTTCCAGGACCACTGCAGCACAGTAGGACAAACTGACACCCAGTCATATTGCACATTATACTTTGTGATGTTGTTAAGTGATGTCCAGTCAGTTCCAACTCAGAGCAACTCTGAATGGAGTCTCTGAGGTTTTAGTTGTTAGATGGGGAAGAAATCCTCAACTTCTTCCCACAATACTCTGTGATAGTTAAGGTTTTGAGTCAGTGGTGTGTTAGGATGTAGTTATCGCCTCCTTGCTGAGATCTCATACGATGCAACCAACCTCAGGATGTGATCGGATGTGATCAGCTCTGATGTGATATAATTGCCCTCCTGTTGTGATTCCTCATATCTATGGTGTTAATGAGGCCAGATGCAATCAACAGGATTAGATTGTATCTGGAATCCATCTCTTTTGAAATATAAAAGGAAAAAGAAGTGAACAGAGAAAGAGGGGCCTACACCAGCCCAGAGAGAAGAGCTGGAAGTGGAGTCTGTTCTTTGGACCTGGGTCCTAGTAATGCGAAGCTCTGAGTTCCAGGGGAAACTTGATGACAAGACACATGGAACATCCTCCAAGGAATACTAACCTGTAAGGACCTTTCTCCAGAGCTGCCAGAGAGAAAGCCTTTCCCTAGAGTCAGCGTGCTGAATATGAAATTCAAGCCTCCTAAACCGGGCAGTGTTTCATTCTGTTGTGCATAGGGCTGCTATGGGTTGGTACTGACTCGATGGCACCTAACAACAACAAACTGTGCGAGAATGGCTCTCACCTGTTTGTTGAAGGCATCCACCCATAGTTATTTCTGTTACAGTAACACTAGACAACTATGCCAGGATGCAATAAAAGTGGCCTAGTTGTGGCCCTTACTATGTTACCTCATATGTTGACAGTTTTGTTAAAGTGGCTTGGTTAAGTATTTTGAGAAAGCCTCTTCTTTCTTTATTATTTTCTTAGCACTGTTATACCAAAGTACCACAAACTAGGTGGCTTAAATAACAGAAACATATTATTTCACAGTTTTGCAAATGAGATGTCTGAAATCAAGTTTTGGATGGTGTTGGCTCCGTCTAGTAGCTATGTTTCTCTCCTAGCTTCATTAGGTTGCTGGCAGTCTTTGGTGCTCCTTGGCTTGGGGCTGAAGAATTCCATTCTTTGTCCCATTGTCTTCCTTGTCTATATGTGTACACATTTTCTCTTAAGGACACAGTCATTGAACGAGGCGCTCTGGTGGTCCAGTAGGATGAGCACTGAACTGTTAACTGTGAGGTCAGCACTTTAAACCTACCAGCTGCTCCCCAGGAAAAAAAAAAAAACAGGCTTTCTGCTCCAATCAAGAGTTGCAGCCATGGAAACCATACATAGGGGCACTCTGAGTCAGACTTGACTTGATGGCAGTTGAGTTTGGAGATTGCGTCACTGAATTAGAGAATTACTTCATGTTATCCTAATTACATCTGCAAGAACTTTATTTCTAAATAAGGTCACATTCTGAGGTTTTAGGTGGACATGAATTATGAGGGCAAGGGGCACTATCGAACCCCATAAATGTCTCTGCTTTGTGCAAACGGTTAATGTACTGGCTGCAAATGGCTACGTGAAAGTTAGGAGGTTTGAATCTACCCAGAAGTAGCGCAAAAGAAAGGTCTGGTACTGCAGAAAAATGAGCCACTGAAAATACTATGGGACACAGTTCTACTCAGAGAAATGGATATCACCATGAGTTGGAACTGACTTGAGGAAAACACATTTGTCTACCAAGGAAATGGTGTTATTCATCAACTATTCAAGGAACTTCTTCCCCAGGTCAAGTTTACACTCTTGAGAGCCTGGCTAAAGCTGAGTAGTTGGCTAGCAGAGGACGCCTGAATTCTCTTCAAAACTTCTACAAAACTTGGGACATATATCCAAATCCCTGTGGCTAATGTTAACTTTGAAAAATCATGTATTTGTAGAACTGAGAGGCTGTCATGTTTTTACTATATTAATCGTCATCTCCAAATTAAACATACTACACATACACAGACACGCCTCACCGTAACAAGGAAAAGAGTTCCCTGCTGCAATATGCCATCTGATTTCTAATTGCTTCCATGAGTTTGATTGTGGATTCAAGCAAAATGAAGTCATTGACAAGTTTGATCTTTTCTCCATTTATCATGATATCATTTATGCACAAATGTATATGTCCTCAATTATATATGATACTTTCATTACAATTATATGATACTTTCATGACATTATATGGAATATTTTTAATTCAATAGGACAATTTCAATATGTATTAAAAATGCTTGACCATAAATAGACTGATTTCAGATCAATCTTTGACATCTTTGAGCAGCAGTGTACTTTAGTAGATTCTTTTTATTTAAGGAAAGAAAACATTTTTAACAACAGTTGGCCTACCCTAGTTATTGAAACTTTTTTACACAGATTGTTACCAACTGAGCTGAAACAGCAGCTGTGTACTAGAAATAATTGCAAAAATGTTTGCCCATTGGCCTGAAATCAAACATATGTTTTCTAGTATCAACTAAAATACAACTTTCTTTATTGATATGTGTTAATTATTGAGGGATGTTAATTACAATTGTACACCTGATTGTCAGAATGACTAGCATGGAAATCACATAAGGGCATCTATTATATGTTGTTGTTGTTGTTGTTAAGTGTCATCGAGTCAGTTCCGACTCATAGCAACCCTGTATAGGGATTCTGAGGAGCAGCTAATGGGTTTGAACTGCTGACCCTGAGGTTCAAACTGTCCTTCTAGTCCACTGCATTATATAATAGCATCACACCAGGACTTCAAGTATTATACAGTTATGTACCTATATTTTATGTAGGTTAATGCACTGGACTGTAAGGTGGGTTTGAACTGCAAGGTCAGCATTCACACTCACCAACTCTTCCTCAGAAACCCTATACAGGGTCACTATGAGTGGGAACCGACTCGACAGCACTTAACAAATATATATTATACATACAGTGGTTCCAGTATCGGAGACAATAACACTACATTCCTGAATAATTCCTTTTGATTTATTTTTAAATGCAATCTTTGTCAAAGGGAATGGCTGTACAGCACAAAGATTGCAAAGCTCACCTTTCCTCTTGCCTATAGCGTGTGGTACTGATTTAAATGTTAAATACATCATATCAAGCAGTCTTCAGTTTGGATTATGCAAGAGTGTTTCAAAAGGTTTGTGGGAAAACGTCATTCGTTCACATACTTTGTGGCACCTACTTCTATTGTCTCTGTCTCTCCTGTGCACTTCTATTTAAGGGATATTGACAAGCATCACAACGGCCTGTGTTAGTTAAGAACTTACCTTACTATCAATTTTAAAGGGAAGACTTACTGGTGGAAACACTCTTCAACATTCTAGGTTCTAAACCCAAGTTTATTGATATTGCGTTCATGAATACACTGCACCTGTCTGGTTTGCTTCAAAGGTACTTGGTTGATGTTCAGCTTTCATTAGTGGAACAGTTAGCAAAGCATCATGTTCATCTCCCCAACTAGACAATTTCAAACAGCACATACACTGGGGCACCTGACAGTTATAGTAAGTAGCTACTGATAAGGGGTGTGGCTCTACAGAGAGAGAGGAATAGAGGGAGTATTAATTACTACAAAGACCATTCTAAGCGCTGTAAGATCCAGACATTTAACAATAAATGCACAGCTGTCTTCCGAAACTGAAAATATCAGTGGCTCTTTCTGTCATTTCGGCTTGTCTGCTTCATTCTTCCATCAAAGAAACACAATTTTTCAGTAGAATAATCTCTGAATTGATGCCCTCGTTGAAAATTTAAAAAAAAAGAAAAATTTACCTTCTGTATAGTAATGATTCCTTCTTGTGTGTCTTTGTCAACAGAAATCTTGAAAATCCCTAATCCATCACCATCCACAATTTTGTAATCCATTTCCGCATTAGCTCCGATGTCTGCATCGGCAGCTTTTATCCTGGCAACGACGGATGCCGCGGGCAAAGATTCCGGGACGTTATATTGGTAAGACCCTGTGAAATTAAAAACAAAAAAATGAACAAAACCTGATCCACCCGTAACAACTTAACTCTAGTTATTCTACATTTTCTTTGCTTAATTTTTTCTTCACGAAAAAGATGCTAAAGCAGTATGAGACAAACAAGGCACGTTTCAGAGAGCCTCAAGAAATCCATGGGGAGGATCAGAGAGTAACTGTGATGTGAAAGCCGAAACAGAATGGAATGAAGACATTTCATTCCTGTATTCAAGTGATTAGACAAATGCTACTTTCCATAATACAAATACATTTTTAAAGTTATTTTGATAAAACTCCAAATGGACAAATACAAGACGAAACAGTTGAGACAGTTTAATGTTGAATAATAATATCATCTACTAGGAAAGTTCCATGCATTGACACAAGAAAAGTGTATGAAGGACAATATGACCCTCCTTTCACCTCATAAATTTTCCCAGGGCTAGGATTCTTTTCTATAGGCAGTATGTAGTACAATGGTAGCTTCTTCTTATTATTACCATTGGATCACATAATTTACCAATATTATATTCTAATATTACCATAAGCAGTATGGCTTGAAGAAGAGGAAAGAGAAGTAAAAAACGAAGAATGCATTTGTTAAAAAAAAAAAAAACACAAGACAACAACAAGAAAAGCTTCATTTTGTAAAAATTCCTCTCCCTCATACTCCAACTCAAAAAGAGAAAAGTTTGCAAAACACAAGCAAAGGGGTACCATCATCACTCAGGAACAGAGTGATTATAGTAAGAAAGCTTAGAGCATGATGTTCCTGCCTTCATCATTTTCTTGAATCATTTCTTTCTCCCTACTTCCCGCACCATCCATTTCCATCAGTTTGTTAAATGATGGCACCTTTCCCTTTTGTTATAAGGAAAGCAAATTTTGCTGGTGCAATTCTCCAACTTTTGTGAAGTCAGTGATTTAATACAAAAGAAAACAAAATTAAAACATACGTTTATCCTATCTGAGAGACTCCTTGCACAAATCTATAAGTGTCCTTGTTGTTGTTGTAGTTAGGTGTCACTGAGTCAATACCGACTCACAGCAACCCTGTGTACAACCGAACAAAACACTGCCTGATCCCGGGCCAGCCTCACAATCCTTGCTGTGTTCGAGCCCATTGATGCTGCCACTGTGTCAATCCATCTCATTGTAGGTCTTCCTATTTTTCTCCAATCCTCCATTTTACCAAACATGATATCCTTCTCTAGGGATTGGTCCCTCCTGACTATAAATTTGAAGTGTGAAAGATGATGTCTAGCCATCCTGGCTTCCAAGGAATACTCTGGCTGTACTTCTTTCAACACAAATCTATCTGTTCTTTGGGTAGTCCATGGTACTTTCAATATTCTCCTCCAGCACCATAAATGAAATGCATCAATTCTTCTACACTTATTCACTGTAGAGCTTTCACACGCCTATGAGGTTTTTGAAAATACGATGGCTTGCATCAGGCACACCTTAGTCCTCAAACTGACATGTTTGCTCTTCAACACTTTAAAAAGGTTGTGTGCAGCAGATTTGTGTCCTTAGAAATGTCCTTAGTAAAATGCAAACATTTCTAGAAATGAATAGGAACTAAATGGCACAGAAGGCACCAGCAAAAGAGAAAATCCTGATGAATACCCTTGGGTTTTGCTTCCTGTTCAAAGGAAGGCGGTATATATCAAATACGTTGGAAAATACAAGCTCCTTCCCACTACAGCATACGAGGCTCTCTCCCATCAAAGCACAACTGGGACCCAAATAAAGTACAAGATAAGCTACCAAGAAGACCTTTATTGCTAGAAAACCCAAACTGAATCTACTGCCGTCGAGATGCTTCCAACTCATAGTAACCCTGTATAGGGTTTCCAAGACTAAAAATCTTTATGGGAGCAGACCACTTCCTCTTTATCAGGTGGAGCAGTTGGTGGATTGAAACCACCAACTTTACGGATAACAGCACAACACTTAATCCAGAGCATTACCAGGGCTCCTTGTTTGCAGTCTCAATTCATGGACTAGTTAGATAAATAGAGTTATGTTCGAGATCATTTTTTTTTTTTTAATATAGTGCATTTAAACCTTTACTGTAGAATAATAGAAAAATTTTAAAAATGCATGAAATGAAACATCCAAAGCAGCAATATTGGAAAAGAAAATTGGAACGTACCTACTTGCTCTCTTTGCTTAGAAAGAATCCTAATCTGAGATTATTCACGGCTCAGATCTGTTTGTAGGAAAGCTTAGCTCCCCATGTCTGCTGAAAAAGTGCTTCAAGGACTGTGCAGTCTGAACAATCCCCTTACTTCCGAAGCCTTCATCAAACATACAATGACCACTCACCAACCCATAAAAGGTGACAAGGTCAAGGGAGTAAGAGAAATACTTTTTACATACAGGACACCTTTATGTAGAGAATATGTCTCCCTTTTTTCTTGGTTAAAGCAAAAGCTACTTCGGTTAAAGAAGTTAAATTGAGGGCATATGATTCTGTTGGTCCTTTAGATTCATTTCTTTTGAAACACTGGGTATTTGTACAAGAAAGAAGTGACAGACTGCTAAAAGTATGCTCAGTGTGAATGAATGGGTTAAAACAATACGTAGAGTAAAAATAACAAAATTTATATTATATTTTTACCTTTAAAAATATTCTAGGTGTCTAAAATCACGATGTTTATTTTAATATTACTAATTATTTGCTTTGTAATATGCAGACTAATATAAGAGTAATTTTTAGAATAATAAAGCTAACACATAAAATGATGTGTTGCCTAGTATTCAAGATCTGAATGAAAGGAAATCATATTTAACATAGGAGAAGCACTGGACCACAACATCAGTTTGAATCACAAGGTTGTTGGTTCAAACTTGCCAGCCGCTCCTTGGAAATCCTATGTTGCTTTTGTTGTTGTTAAGTGTCGTCCTGTTAGTTCCAACCCATAGCGACACTGTATAGGGTTTCAAGGAGCAATTGGTGAACTTGAACTTGAGGTTCAAACCGACCTTGCAGTCCCGCACATTAACCTACAGTGCCACACCAGGCCTCCTTGGAAACACTATATTGGTTGCTATGACTCAGAACCTCTTCAATGGCAATTAACAACAAGAAAACAAATAAATGATTCCTCCTATGTGTTTTCAATATCCCTATAATTTCACGCTTGCTGTCATTGTTAAGTGCCACTGAGTCAGTTCCAACTCATAGTGACCTTGTGTAGGGTTTCCTATGAGAGGCTGGTGAATTTGAACCACCGATCTTGTGGCTTGAACCTACAGCACCACACCAGGACTCCTTTGTTGTTATTGTTGTTAAGTGCTATCGAATGGGTTCTGACTTATAGCAACCTTGTATATGGTTTTCAAGAAGAAGATCGTGTGTTTGAACTGCCCACCTTGTAGTTCAAACCAGCCTTATGGTTGATTGCCGATCCTATAGTGCCACACCAGGACTCCTACTGGAATGTAAATTATGCCGCAGAGAGAATACACTTTTTGGGGTGTGTGGCAAGAAAGCTACTTTGAGAAGTACCCAGATGAAACTTCATTTAAAATGTATCTGTATAAACTTCCAAGAAAAGTAACAATTTCATCATTTTAAGAAATATCTTACTTCGTGGAAAACGAGGTGGGTTGTCGTTGACATCAGTGAGGGTTACGGTGACTGACGTGGTGCCTGACAGTCCGCCATTTTGACCAACCATATCCTTTGCCTGAATAACAAGCAAATACTGGTCTTTAGCCTCTCTGTCCATGTTGGGAAGGGCAGTCTTGATGACTCCTGTAAAATTTCAAATCCCAGTAAAACGCATCATGAATCACTGCATTTCTGCTAACAGAGAACAAACAGGTAGCACGCCCCTCTTGAGTCTTTGCCATTTGTTTATTTGTAAAATATATTATATATGTGTGTGTGTGTGTGTGTATATATATATATATATACATATTAAAGACCAGAAAGCAATGTGATAATCTCATATTTAAAAGTATTGCAAAATGGAAGAGCACGGCTCCTCAAAATGGGAGAGGATTCTACTAGCTTTCATTGATACATGGGTTAGGTCCAAGCAACGGAGCCCTTATCAAGAATAATGAGCAGTCACCTGCACAAACATAACAACAAAAACAGTCTCCTTTCTTTCCCTTTCATCCTCTTCAACAACTTACCTCCCAGGTGACTTGAAATCACCAAGACCTGTCACCTCTCGTCCCTACTACCTCTCTTGCATCCATTTACTTTAATTGAACTATTGTACAAAGTAAGTATGAGAGCAATCTATATTTAATAAGCAAAACTCCATCTCAATCTAGGGCTGCAATGTCAGATGATCTCGTGCTGTATCTAATGGCCTGAGAAACAGCCCTGGAGAAGAGAACGGCTGGGCTAGTGACTATCAACAATGCTGAAGAGATTGGGGAGCTGTTTTGCTGATGTGTGCATCTATCCATTGCATTTACTATTGCCAGCTCCCATCATGCCTTTGGATGTGTGTGAAATTGACATCAGAATTTCATGTTGCCTGATAGGGAACCTGACTCAGAAGTCATTGCTGCACTGAATTAGTTTCATATTAATAACAATTTAAATCAGACAATGGTCATGTGTAATGATGAAATGGAATTGCCTTGAATTTATGACTCGACGGCACTTAACAACAACAACAACAACATGCTTTATAAATATATTAAAGGACACAGAGAGGACTTTAAAAAGACAGTGGAAAAAAGAAACTGAAAGATAATGGAGTTTTTCCATGAGCTCTTTGAAGCCCCTTCTTATATACCTAATCTTATAATAATATACATGTTATTGTTGTTAAGTGTCATCGACAGACGGTGACCCTGCATACGGTGGGTTTCCAAGGCTTTACAGCTTCAGGGGAGCAGAAAGCCTCGTCTTTTTCCTGTGCAACAGCTGGCAGGCTCAAACCGTGAACGTTGTGGTTCACAGTCCAGTGCTTACCGTATGGAGCCACAGTGTTCCCACAATATAGTTGTGAATGTACAGATAGTTATATTGATTGAAAAAGTATTTGAAATTGATTTATACAGACCTTGACATGAATCTGAGAGCAACTTTACTATGGAGATATAAAAGTATACACTAATTGATACCTAATAATTTCTTGCACTTTCATTCTTTCAAACAAAGTAGTATCTTCCCTGTATACCTAGGGCATTATGTTTTTGACTTGTGTACAGAATGAGATAACTAACAGTTTTATCTTTATGTACAGCATAAAAATAATTTAACATTATTTGAATATACAAAAGCTTTAAAAAGCTCATGGAAAAATGGAGTTGAAAGTGGAATTTTTTCATGAACTTTTGACAGCCCCCTCATATAAACATTAAAAAAAGCATCTGCCAATCTGTCTACAGGCTGCCTTCCTCTATTGTTGTTTTTCTTAGTAAGTGCCAATGAGTCAGTTCTGATACATAACAACTCTATACAGGGTTTTCTAGGAGCAACTGGGGAGCTTGAACTAAAGACCTAGCGGTTCAAATTGACCTTTTGGTCCAGTGCTAATCCACTAGCACCACACCAGGACTCCCTATCTCAATGGGCACGTGTAACAAAGGTGTGTGCAATGTGGCAGATGCTAAGAATAAGTGATAAGATTTGATGATAAATTCTATACTGCCTAATTCTTTACAACATTCTACAATGTAGTAAGTTCTTAGCAGAACAGGTTCAACAGTTGAAGAATAATTTATTATTGGTTCCCAAGGGTCTTAGTTTAACAACACTCTTACTATCTTAAGCAACTGTATTTGAAGTCTCTCTCTTCCTCTCTCTTACAAACACCAGTGAAACACCAATATTTTAAACATTTAAATTATACTTCCTTGAGTGAGCCATGTATTTTATAAGTATGAATAATTTATTCTAATTCCTTAATTTCAATTGGACAATTTAAATTACAGCAATACATGATAACTTTAAATAACACCTTTGGGCTGTCTTTGTTGATTTTGTTGCTAAATGCTGTTGAGTTGTTTATGACACATAGCTACTCAGCTGGTGAGTTTGAACAGTCCAATGCTTATCTTATAACACTACACCAGGACTCCTTGGTTATCTGTTGTGGTTTAGTGCTGTTGAATCAGTTACGACTCATAGTGACCCTATATAGGGTTTCCAAAGAGTGACTGGTTGGTACCAACTGCTGACCTTGTAGTTGGCAGTCCAGTGCTTATCCTACAGAGTCACACCAAGACTGTTTTGACTATTTACATACTACTTATAGTCTTTGAAATATCACATGAACATCAAACAGTTGTGTCCCACTAGGTTCAGTTGGTAACAGTCCAATATATATGTTCGAGCCATGATTCTATGAAATTTCATATTTATTCTTCCACACATTTGCTAATTCTAATCTATAACAAAGCAAGCACTGACTTCACTAAGGCTTACTTACTGTCACCAAACTTAAGCAATCTTTGAGTAAGAGTCTGGGATTTTCTATTAATCATTTTTTATTTATAGGGTTTTTTTTTTAATTGGAGAATGCCTATATTGAATTTTCAACCAAAAAGGTATATATTTTATTGAAATGTCAAAACATTTCATATTAAGACAGTGAGTTATGTATAAAATGTATTACTCATCAAGTTGTCAATTTTAATATCTGTTCATCTTCCATTTTTCCTTTCAATATCAATGTTGCTGTTGTTAAGTGTGGTCAAGTTGGTTCCAACCCCAGTGACTCTGTATGTAGAGGGTTTCCTAGGAGGAACTGGTGGATTTGAACCACCAACCTTGTGGCTATCAGCCCGGTGCTTATCCTACAGAACTACACCAGGACATTTGTTGTTGTTGTTAAGTGCTGTTTAGTTGATTCTGATTCACACAGACTATGTACAAGGATTCTAAAGAGCAGCTGGTGAGTTTGAACTTCTGGCCTTGCTGTTAGCAGTCCAGTGCTTATTCTACAGTATCACACCAGGACTTAGGTGTGAGTTCTTATCTTTGCACATTTATTTTGAAGGAGAAAACCGCCAACACTACAACCTTGTCCTGTCATGGTTTTGTTTCGTGGCACTATTTTCTAAAGGAAAATAATTAGAAGTTGGGTAGGCAAAGTTACTTATTTTTCACACCTCTAAATTGTCTCTTTGGAAGTTATTCTATAAATAACACTTCCAAGGCAACTATCATCACAAAGTTGGCAAAGCAGAGCAGGTGGCAAAGGTAATTTCCAAATACCTCAACTATTAAACATATTTTTGACAAGAATGGAGTTGTTGGGCGAAAATTGAATTTAAATAAAGGTACTCAGGAATAATAGGCTTCTAGCCTTTTGACTTCTGCTAGCTTTTATGTAGAAAACATCTAACATTTGGAAAATAATTCTCATACATTAGGTTTGGTTTGTGCTTTAAAAAAAAAATTTTAACAAGTGTATGTGTGTGTAAACAGTAAAAATTATGAAAGCCAGGAGCTATCAGAGAAGGAAATACTTTTCACTAATAGGGGACAATAGAAACGTAGAAAGTACGTACCCTGTTCAAAGGTGGAAAATTTGTGAGACTCAGGAAAGAAAGGCTCGTTGTTGCGTACCATGGAGTGGTTCCGACCCATAACGACCCTGTACAGGGTGTCCGAGGCTGTAAATCTTTACGGGAGCAGAAAGCCTCATCTTTCTCCCATGGAACAGCTGGTAGTTTCGAACTGCCGACCCTGGGGTCAGCAGCCTGATTCGTAACCACTACGCTACCAGAGCTCCTTATGAAAGAAAGGCAGTGTCGTCTAATTCCAGCTCTCAGAGGTTTCACAGTGCCACCTATTAGCGATCTGCCTGTGTGTGTGTGTGTGTGTGTGCAAACCATTGCTATTATCTCTCTGAACTGGCCAAGGCCAACTGGATCCTGACAATTCTGTGAAATATCCACAGAAGACAACAATACTATTTAATTGCAGTCATCAAAAACTTTAAACCATTTGTGATGAGAAAAATGTAGCCTGTGCTGTTTTAGAGAAGAGACTGGATCCGATTTTAGGCTAATATGATTAAGAACGTCTCTATGGAAGTACGCTTGGCCCAGTATTATAGATCTTTTCATGTATTTACAAAACATTATCATAACAAGGATTGTACACACGACATTAAAATTTTTATTGTTGTTGTTCAACAGCTATCTAGTTTTTTTTTAGTTATGGGAAAAACGGTCTCATGATTCTCTATCAGACATTGATGACTATATTATATATAGCCGATTACTTTAAGATCTTTTAAGAGTTTGTGTGTGGAACACATGTGACGGAAGTCAGATAACCCTTGAGTCTGGATTCTGGACATGCCAAATTTGCATCAGTCCTAAGAAACCAGTCAACCATGGGAACCACAGGAACACTGTTTGGGGATATTCATGCTGTGAGGGCTCAACTCATTGGGATTTTGCTGACTAAAATCAAGTCATTTTTGGATATGTCTTTGAGTATACTAATACTACATGGAAAGGTGAAAAATAAAAACTACCTTTCCCTGAGATCTAATTAACTGAGGAAACACCATACTGTAGTAACTAGGGCTCAGGTTGTTGGGATTCACCAATAACTGAAATAATGGTTGTTCTTTCTTCTCATTATTAAGACATTTATTTTCTACAGCAATTTCAAGAGCTCTTAGACTTCAGAAGTAGAGAGTAGAGACCTCAGTTTTCTCATGGCTTACGTTTACCAAGCAACAGAAGTCAGCAGGAAAGGTGTGCAAATGATCTAATGCCATTTGATCTAGACATTGCCTCAAGGAACGAGTCAAGAAACCCTCAAGA